TAGTGATGGGAAGACCGACTCTTTTTATTGATTCGAATCTTTGACTCTCGAACAGTAAAATGAACGAGTCGTGAACGAATCTTGAACTAATCATTTCATTCGTTTTACAGCAGGTGGCGCTTTAGCCCTATTGTGGGCGTTGTAAAGAATGCTGCGATACTCCGACACTAAATGCTGAAGGCAACATGGTTTGCTTCGGCTGACAAAGTCTACAAAGTACACAAAATGCCATAAGTAATTAAAACCATGTGAAAAGCTAAGAAATAAAAACACAGCACAATGTGAAGATGAATGAGAGCAAAAGAGACCCGAGCTCTCTTTTACGTGACAGATGAAACGAATCTGCGAGAACGAGGCGAAAGTTTAGTTCACAGAGAATGATCCGTTCATAGTGATTAGTTCACAGCAAAAGATTCGTTCACGGCGAAAGATTAGTTCACAGTGAATGATTAGTTCATAGAGAGTGATTCGTTTGCAATGATAGATCAGTTCACAGTGAAAGATTAGTTTGCAGAGTAATTAGATCGTAGTGAAAGATTAGTTCACAGTGAAAGATTAGTTCGCAGAGAGTGATTTGTTCGCAGTGAGTGATTTGTGAGAGATTCGTGAGTTCAATATGAATAAATATTTAATATGACTCGGTAGTCACGCCTCATATGAAAGATTCGTTCATTTTGAACGAATCACTCGCCAACGACACATCACTACACCGACGCTCTGCGTCTCCTTTCTGCGGTTACAGAGCGCGTGATGTCCGAGAAAAACCAGCAACACGGTCAGAATCGTGGTGCAAAATATGATGGCGATGAAAACCCCCTTGGAGACCCCCGAGGGCTGCCTGGTGGGCTCAGGCTCGGGTGGAACGACGACTTCAGTTGTAGGTACGATTTCTTCATCCGTTTCTTCGCACTTGTACTCGTCCACCATCTTGTATCCTCGTTTACAGGAGCACACGTAGCCGCCGTAGGTGTTCTCACACATGTGGTCACAGTAAAGGTCGAACTCACACTCATCTATGTCGATGCACACCGTACTGTCTCCTCTCTCCTCGGAAATGTTACTGCGCTGTAACATTACTCCTTTAGCCCTCACAGAGAGGAGGAGCCGGTCCGCCGTGCAGAAAGACATTTTCTAAATAAAATCACTGGATGAATGATCGCATACATGGATGGATGAGTGTTAGGAAGGAGTGTATGGATGGATAGACGAATTAATGTTTAGGAATTAAAGTTGGATTTGTTCAACAAAACATGTTCAGTACAATTTTAAAAGCACTTCATATTGTTAAAATGTTTGCCTTTGTGAAGAAGAAAAGTTGTACCAGTTGTGGTCTGTTGAGGTACAACCAATCAAAACCTCTGTTCGGGTACCTGTCTCTGCTTTTCTACTCTTCTACATTTTTAAACTTAAAAAAAAAAGTAACGCAATAGTTACTTGCCCTGCTAACTAGTTGCTTACTGCTAGTGGAGTAACCACTGTTTTACCAACTCAGTTACTTGTTGGGCGAAGTAACTAATAACTATAACTAATTACTTTTTCAAAGTAAAACCACTTTGAAAAAGTAATTAGTTAGTGATCCCCAATTACCATTGGGGATTAATCCCCAATGGTAATTGTCCTCTTCTTGCTGTAACACAAGACCTTTAAACACTCCTTCTTGACTTTTTCAATTTAAATAAGTTTGATTAATTTTATTGTTATGTATTTATTATTTTTTTTAGTAGTATTTATTTATTATTTTGTAATAAATCCAAAATGATGAATACTGATGAAAATACGAATTTTTCCGAACAATAATAAAAAAGAAATCTAAAGTAATTCTTCTATTCTAATTTCACCCTCTGACGAACATGACATGCGAAATTAGAATTTATCCAAATAATACCCAAAACAATTTCTAAAAAAAATTCTCAAAATACTCTAATTTGATGAGAAACCTACAGAGAAGATGATTGATTTTGAGGTGATTTTGATGTCCTTGTTCCGAAAATGTTCATGCTGGTGTTTATCATTCTCGTGGGTTACGTAGAACCTTGGTAAACATCGGATTAACAGATTGAAGTTTGCTTTGGTCGTAACCTTTATGTACAAGCAGAGATTTTATCAGTCTAAGCAATGGCGTGAGAATTTTCTTTTTCTTCAAAATGTTATTGAGAATCAAAGAGAATGATTTGAATCAGTTTCCTGTTGTGTCACTGACCAGATGAGGAGGAAGAAAAACAAAAAACCCCAAATGTAAGATAAAAACTGCTGCTTCTACTGAAGCTGTTATCAACCTGTTCACCTCTGCTGAGGTCCAGATCAACGCCTGGTTTAAAAAAGAGTCAACTTGTTGTTTTGGGCTTTCACAAGAAGCAGACTTCTGAGTGGTCAGGCATGCCTTGTTATCATTATTTCTACTTTAAGACCAATATTTATGTTGTGCCCATTTGTATCTGTTTAGTTTGTTTGTTGAATTAATTCTGGGTTAATTTGAATCTAGTTTCGATTAAGTCACAGGTTGTTAATTCAGATTATGCAGTTTGACTGTATTTATCGTGTCACCTTTTTAAGACTTTAAGAGGAAAGATAAAAATCCGTAAAAGAGGAAACAAAGAGATTAAATGAAATGATATATTAACAGTGGTATGAAAAAGTTTGGGCACCCCTGATCATATTCAACATTTTCCTTTATGGATCATTGGTTGTTCGGAACAGCAATTTCAATTAACTATATCATACAGCAAACAAACACAGTGATATTTAAGAAGTGAAATGAAGTTTATAGGATTTACAGAAAGTGTGCAATAATTACTTAAACAAAAGTAGGCAGGTGCATAAATTTGGGCACCCCAACAGAAAAATTACATCAATATTTAGTAGATCCTCCTTTTGCAGAAATAACAGCCTCTAAACGCTTCCAATGAGGGTCTGGATTCTGGTTGAAGGTACTTTTGACCATTCTTCTGTACAAAACATCTCCAGTTCAGTCAGGTTTGATGGTTTCCGAGCATGGACAGCCCGCTTTAAAACA